ATTTACACTTCAAATGAATGAATAAGCTGTATGTGGAATTCCTCCTCTGTGTGCACAAGGCTCTGAAGAGTCCATATGCCGACAGTGGTGTGGTCCATACTTCAAACAGCTTCACTTGTACGTTAAGAATGGCTAATGAGGTAATGAGTTTCCTGAGTAAACACTTTAAAGACCCCGCCCCCTACTTTGACATGTGTGGAGAGTTTGATATGTGTGTGAGTTCCACCTGTCTGTGCATTACCTTACCATCCCATAGGGGGGCAGCCTGCTACTGTGTGTCTGTGATTTGAAAATATTTTCTCTCATTGTTGTAACTTTGAAGATGTAATTTTACACATTTGGTTTAATCCAGTTGGGACCAACTGCAGTACTTCACACTCTGTGAGGATGTGTATCATATGGCTCACAAGTAAGCACTTGTGATCTGATTTCACCGGCACACTCACATTGTGCTCTCCCTGTCAACTGCTGCAGAACACTCACCGCAGTCAAATATTTCCAATTAACCTTTTTAATTTTCTAATTTGTATGACAACATACTTCCATTTTTCAACTACAAATAATAAAGTGCAATTTAATTTTTTTTAGAAATTGATGCTTTTTGGTGAAGCTGAAGGTGTTCATACCTGACCCACCACGTGATAATGCCCTGGTCTTTCAAAGTTTGTACTCCACTGTTGAGAATATCAGCAAATCATCTTTAATCAGCTCTGTCCCATCAGCCCATGCTGTGCTCCTATCTCCCCGGGGGGAATAACCGAGGAGGCACCGTCCCCTGCTCCTCCACCCTGCAATCCTTGCACCACCAACTTGTCGATATCTTATAATGTAAAAATTTGATAGCCAATTCAGAGGCTGGCTTCTCTTTGGGCATAAGAAATGAGCCTGGATCCACAGGGACCGCACCGCCGAGACTCCAAGATGAGCTCGGAAAGGTGGGTGAAGGATGCAGAAAGAAAGAGGAGAGAGGTAAAAGTGTAGGCTGAAAAGATTCATTGTCACGAGTACGCTGCCTCACCACAGATCAGAGCCTCAGTGACCCCCCCAAGAAGCTGGAGTAAATTATTCATTCAGAGTCAAATGGCTTGTTTCTGGTGAAATTACCTTTACTTCCCTCACCTCTTCTATGCCAGCCGAAGAATAATTAGTTATAAGGGCACAGCTATTTTCTGACTTTAATCATGTAACAGAGAAACCTCCCGCGGTGAACATATTAGATGTGGAGGTGCAGCGAGCAGACAGAGGAGGGGAGGAAAGGAGAACAAAGCATCGATGAACACTTACAAAATCTGAGCTGTTGGGGTGTGTAATTAAAAATTGATGTCATATTAGAGATGAAGATTTCAACTTAACAGCCAGTGGAAAATGGAGTGCTTATTGACAGTATATTGTCAGCTCATCAGGGCGGCCAGAGGCTTTCAGCCCTGCTGGACAGCTCAACAGGCAACTTCTGTGTATCAATCAATTCATCCATTTATTTTATTCCAGGTCGTGCAACCATGAAAAGAGAGAGAAAAGTTTTGAAACTAAACTTTAAAGTGTGTGGATTAAGAACAGGCGTTGTACTGCAAATTACTGTATATGTCGT